TTTATTTACAAACCTTGGGTAGTTTTTCTCTAAAAACCTTTTCTCATATTCTCAATATACCTGTTCCTGGCCTTGCTGAATTATCTGAAGAAACTTTTACTGCCTCGGCTCTAAAAAGGGATTTCAAACCCATTGTTGTTCATGGATATCAAACACAACTGAATGATCAAATAAGGAGCAGTTCTGACATCCATTCCAGGTGACTATCGCTTATTCCTCAGAAAGATTTGCTCCCAGGACTCCACGCACTGTCAACACAGTGGAGACATTAAGAGAGGCATTGTAAAAGAAACCATTTTCTCAGAAGCTACAATTACTGGAGTTAGAAGCATAGAATGAACAATATTAGGACAAAAGAAAATTATACAGAGGTAGCCAACCAGTGAGTTCGCAAAAAACAATGAACCTGGGATGTCAGGAGGTCACTTCCTTTGGCCCTCAGGGTCCATGGCTCGCTATCCTGAGAAGGGCCTCGGAATTGGGTTTTCGTCCATGTCACAGGGCCGCTGATCAACCCAGGGTGTGCGTATGGTGAGCTTGAACTGCCATCTTAGTGAATATGAAATATCTCACTGTGTACTTAGATTGCAATTCTCTAGTCACTAAGAATGTTGAGCATCCTTTCTCTTTTTTTTGGCCATTTGTGAAGCTTCTTAGATAAGTGTTTACTCAAATTTGGCACATTTTTAACTGAATTTCCTTTTAATTGTTGGGTTATATGAGTTCTTTGTACTTTCTGGATATATGACCATTATTGGTACATGGTTTGAATTTTTTTTTTTTTCCTATAGATAATGTTTACTTTCTTTTAATGATGATTTATAGTTTCAGTGTGAAATTTTACAGTACTTGTTATACTTATTCCTAAAAATTGTATTCCTTTTTATTCTATTGTAATTGAAATTGTTTTCTTGGTTTTATTATTGTTCATTATATCATTTTATCATAATACATTAATGATATATAATATTCAATCTATTGTTCAAATATAAGGGAAAATAAGGATATTTTTAAGCATACAAATATTATTAGTTATTACTAAAGCAGGTGTATTGCGATTGATAACAGGTCTAACATGGAAAATACTAGATGTCCTTCATGACTATTAATGGATCCCAGAACAAAGTGACATTAGGGAATATCTTCTAAAGATAAATTATTTATATTATATAGGATAAGAAAAAGACTGCCAATTTAAATTGTTTTTAAAGTCTAAAAGAAATAGTGAAAAGGGCTAGAGTTTTGTTTTTTTCAATATTAGTTTAGATTTAAATTCATATTCTCATAAAACATAGATGAAATTAAGACATTTAAATTGTATTAACACCTAATAGAAACATGTTGTTTTTAAGTGGTTCTGACTCATAGCAATCCTGTATAGGTTTTACAAGGATAGGCTGGTGAATTTGAACCATTGACCTGTGGCTAGTAGTCCAGTGGTCAACCAGTGTCATACCAGGATCAACAGAAGCATAGATATAGAATATACAGCTTTAAAACAAAAGAGTGAGGTGATTGGCAAAAGGAAATACAATCAAATAATGAAAATGAATGTATCAAAAATATAGTGAATCAAAAACAAAGATTGAGAAATAAAAAATGCATTCAGAATGATTATAATACTGTTCCCTCACAATTCTACTTTGCAGTTCAAAATGTAAAGAAAAATTCCCTAAAAAAATCATTCAAAGAAATATATACAAGGAGGTTTAGCATATATCCTAATTAAAAAATACTATTTCAATTAGAGTATACACTAAACCTCCTTGTGTATGCTTTGGACACATCATTAGATGAAACAAATTGCTAGAAAACAATATTATGTATGGATAAATAGAAGGTAATTGAAAATCAGGAAAACCTTCCATAAGAAGAAATGGTACAATAATTGCTCAAACATGCCAACAATTGTGAGAATGATGTAGGACCAGCAATATTGTGTTCAATTAATTGTGCATAAGGTCTTCATGAATCAGAGCTGACTTGATGGCAAGTCACATCAATAATGAATACAAATAAAAGCAGTATTATGAAATAAATCACAAGTTATGTTTCTTTCCATAGACCAACAACAAATGATCTAACAAAAATACTTTAATTGGATACAAAATTAAAAATTGATGCTTTCATTTCAGAAAAACACATACTAGCGTTTGCCCATGAAAAGAAATAAAGAAACAAACAAACAAATAAACAATGGGTTGAAGTTTTGCTAAATGATTACTTAAAATTTACTGTTGTTGTTAGGTGTCATCAATCAGTATTGACTCATAGCAACCCTATGCACAATAGAAGGAAACTTTGCTGGGTCCTGCTCCAACCGCACAATTGTTACTACACTTGAGCCCATTGTTGCTGCCACTGTGCCAATCCATCTCATTTGGGGTCTTCCTCTTTTTCTCTGAACTTTACTAAGCACGATGTACTTCTCCAGGGACTGGTCCTCCTGATTATATGTCTGAAATATTAGAAATGAAGTCTGGTCATCCTGGCTTCTAAGGTGCATTCTAGCTGTACTTCTTCCAACACAGATTGGTTTGTTCTTTTGGAATTCCATGCTACTTTTTAATATTCTGCTCCAACACCATAACTCAAATGCTTCAATTCTTTTATGGTCTTCCTTATTCACTGTCCAACTTTCATATGCATAAGAGGTGACTTAAAAGTAGCATGGCTTGGGTCAGGCTCACCTTAGTTCTCAAACTGACATCTATGCTGTTGAACACTTTAAAGAGGTCTTGTGCTGCAGATTTTCCCAATGCAATATGTCATTTGATTTCTTGACTGTTGCTTCCAAGAGTGTTGATGGTTGATCCCAGTACAATGAAGTCTTTGACAACTTGTTGTTAAATGCCATTGAACTCATAGTGATGCTAAATAGGTTTTCCAAGGAGCATTTAGTGGGTCTGAACCACAAACTTATGTTTACCTGTCAAGTACTTATCATATAGTGCCATACCGGGTCTCCATACATTTGTTAAACATTATATTTTAAATTTGTGCAATGTTAAAAATTGTTAATTCTGGTGGTAGAAGCAGAGATAAGTGTTTTATTTTAAATTTAGCTGTTTTTATTTTAAAGAGCATAAATTAAATGAAATAATGAAAAATTAACAATAATGTAAAACAGTGTGATAGGGTTGATGATGAGAAAGACCATTGTTTAGACTTTGGGAAGTCTTATTATTAAATAAATTAGAAATCCTTCAGTCTTAAGAAAAATGCATATTCACAGCTTGATCTGGTAGCACCTGTATTAATCTCTGCGGGAAAATTAAAGATAGGGCATAGTTCTAGAATGAGAGATGTTGGATTTGGAGATACAAATGAAATGGCAAAAGCCAGCATGTTACATAAATGGAAAGAAATAGTGTACTTAATTAGGTTACATCAAGATGTTGCTTATATTTATTCTATAGGCCTCAATATAGAGTGGCAACTAGTGATAGAGATCTGTCAGTACTAGTGAGAAAAATTTTTGAAATTATATATTTGATTTAGCTATTATTTCACTGTGTCTTAGGCATTTGGCAGATAATTTAACTGAAAGCTTTAAATTTGGCAGTGATTTTTTTTTCCTTTTTTAAATCTGTGAATTTGTCTTTTTTATGAGTACAACAAAATGGACACTCCACTATGCCAAACAGTTATATTACTAGTTTAGTTCATTGATTTATCCCTAGCAATTAGAATGATTTCAGACATACTTAATGAATAATCAAATGAATTAATTAATGAATAAACTAATACACAGGATCAGATTTCCAATGCCACATTTCTCTAATACAAAGCACAAAAGACCCAGTCTAATATCTTCCTTCTCAATAAAAGAAGCAGTTGTATGCTATTAACAAGTCCCTGGGTGGCATAAATGGTCGGCACTTCTCTCCTTACTTAAAGGGTAGCAGCAGTTCAAGGCCATCCTGTAACACTGCAGAAGATAAGCTTGGTGATGTGAGGCAGCACACTCTGTACCACATGTTTTGTCATGAGTTGGAATAAACTTGACAACAATGGACTCGGTGTTTTTTATTTGAGTTATACTATTTAGAAGTCTAAGTGAAGTCATGCAGACAGAAACCACCCAGTGTCATCCCATAATACCCATAATACCCCTAATCCCTTTCATCTTGAGATACAAAGAAGTTTCTTCAAGTCTTAGAAACCACAAGAATAAACCTACTTGTATTGGCAATTTACAACAGTAAGGTTAAGGCAAAAAGACATGTTTTAAATAACATGCAAATCATCTTTGCTGGATTAAAGTTCTCAATAAAGTTGTTATTTGATGCTGTCTAGTTGTTTCAACTCATGCAGACCATGTATAGGGTTTCAGAAGCTCTAAATCTTTGTGGGAGCAGGAAGCCTCATCTCTCCCAAGGAGCGACTAGAGTGCTTAAACTGCTGACCTTGTGATTCACAGTCCAGTGCTTATCCTACAGAACCACTATGCTTCCCAGTAAAGTGATGGTGGTGATTTTGTGCCCCTGAGTCAGTTCGGACTCATAACGACACTGTGTATAGGGTATCTGGGGCTGTAAATCTTTGCTGTTTTTTTTGTTGTTAAGTATCAGCAAATCCATTCCAACTTAGAACAACCCTGTATAGAGTTTCCAAAGAGCAGATGGCGAGTTTGAATTGCGGACCTTTCACTTCAAATCAGTTTGTAGTCCAGTACTTCCTTATTCTGCAGCCTCACAGAAATCCTTGTCTTTCTCCAACAAAGCGACTTGCAGCTTTTAACTACTCACATTGCGGTTAGCAGCCCAGTGCATAATCCACTACACTACTAGGGTTCCTTTAGTAAAGTGATTGCTGTTGTAGTTGTTAAGCGCTGTTGTTGTCTAGACTGTTTGATTCATAGCGACTCAGTACAGGGTTTCCAAAGAGCATCTGGTGAGTTTGAACCGCTAACTTTGTGGTTTAAATTGACCCTGAAGTTCTGTGTCTGTTTATTCTACAGTGCCATACCAGGACTCTTTAGTGAAATGGTAGGAGTACTAGTTTTTAATAAAAGTGTGGAACACTCGCTCACGTATCTGTTTGGTCCTCACACCATAAATGATGGGGTTAAGTGAGGGTGGAATAACCAGATAAACGTTGGCAATGAGAATATGAATATACTGTGGTATATTTTGTCCAAATCGGTGAGTAAGAAAAGAGAAGACTGAGGGAACATAGAAAACACATATGACCCCAACATGAGAACCACAAGTACTTAGGGCTTTCAACTGGGCATCCTGGGATGGGAGATGGAAGACAGCTCGAAGAATGTAGTCATAGGAGACAGCAATCAGTACCAGGTTTAGCATAAAAAATGAAACTACAAAGAGCCCATAAATACCATTGATACGGATGTTTCCACAAGGCAATCTTGCAATGCCCATGTGCTCACAGTATGAATGAGCTATTATATGAGCCTGGCAAAAGGGTAGGCGGTAGATGAGATAGACCATGGGAAGTATAAGGAGGACTGGGCGAATTATAATGCACATACTAATGCCCATCAGCATGCGGGATGTCAAGATGCTCGTGTAGTGGAGAGGAATACAGATAGCCACATAACGGTCAAAAGCCATAGCCAGTAGGACCTCAGCTTCCATACCAGTAAACGTATGGATCAAAAACATCTGGGCCACACAGACACCAAAGTTAATCTCATGAGCATCAAACCAGAAAATACCCAGCATACGGGGCACAGATGTTGTAGAAAGTGTCAAATCAATTGTTGGAAGAATTGATAGAAAGTAGAACATGGGATCCCGGAGTATCTTCTCTGTCTTGATTACTAGTAGAATTGTGGCATTGCCCAACAAAGCCACAAGATAAACAGAGAAGAATGGCAGAGAGATCCAGGTATGGATCCCTTCCAGACCTGGAATTCCCAGGAGGAAAAATGTGATTGGGTGAAAAATGCTGCTGTTGTGGTTTATCATGCTGTCACTTGTCAGAATAGGTAACTCTGCTCCTCCTGTAAGGATAAAAATGAGAGTGAGAGAGAGGTAGGTAGAGGAGAGGAAGAAGGAAAAGGAGAAAAAAAGAAAAGAGAGGAAAAACAGGAAAGAGGAAGAAAAGGGTGGTTTATCAATTTCTAACTTAGTATTTCAGCATTAGAACAGAACACACAGTTGCTACATTAATTAACTTGTTACTGAAGCTCTTTCAGTAAACTCTCTCCATAGCCATTTGAATAGCTGAGACCACAGCAAATTCAGGGTCACTATGAGTTGGAGTCCTAGTGTAGCGCTGTGGGCTAATGCATCAGACTGCAAAGTCATTTGAACTGCAAGGTCAGTGGTTCAATCTCACCAGCTTCTCCTTGGAAACCTTATACAGGGTTGCTATGGGTCAGAATCAACTCCACGGCACTTAACAATAATAACCTAAGTTGGAACAGACTCAAGTAACAACATTCTGCCTACTGACTGAGTTGTAATTTCAAACAAGGAAGGTTTACAGCAAACCCAGTGCAAATTTCCAGCAGTCAGAGCTTGCCATTTGCTTTGAAAGAAAACAGAATTTGCTTATACTATGGGAAATCTGAGGTGCCCTTGTGATGCAGCCAGTTAAATTTTGGATTACTAACTGAAAGTTCGGCAGATTGAAACTATCAGCTGTTCCTCAGGGGGAAATTGAGACAGTCTACTTTCACAGTGATTTACAGTCTTGGAAACACTATGGAGCAGTTCTACTCTGTTCTATGTAGTTGTTCTGAGTTGGAAACAACTCAACAGTAGGGCATAATGTGGAATGTACTCACTCTCTGGTTATTGGTACAAAAAATACCAAAAGTACATTTGAGATGAAGTTAACATAGCACAGAAATAATAATATGTAATCTATAATGAAAATAAATCAAGACTCAGGTTTATATGCATTCCCATAATAAAATGGGCATGGTTTCTTGAAATGCATTTCATTATTGATTATCATAGAAACAAATATGTAAGCATTGTAACCCTTATAAGCCCTGTTCCAGATTCCTGGTGTAGTGCTGTAGGCTAATGCGCTGGACTGCAAAGTTAGTTTGAACCACAAGGTTGGTGGTTCAAGGTCACCAGCTGCTCCTTGGAAACCCTATACAGGGTCTCTGTGAGATGGAGTTGACTTGACAGCACTTAACAACAATAACAAGAAGCCCAGTTCCTGTCAACAACACACAATCAGACTGTTAGAAACACATACAAATATTCTTTGACAAGTGTTAACTTTGAGATTTCAGACATGGAAGAGAAATAGTCATTGTTCTTCCCTTACAAAACTCTGTAATTTATCAGTTGGGAAAGACAAAGGAGGATTGAGTAATGTCATGCTTACCCTACTGTTCATTATCCACACCACATCCAGTACTCTGGGGGCACACTCGAATGGTACCCTGGCTGTGGAGTCAACACTGTCTTAGTTTACTCCTCCTATCAATACACGACACTGGAAATGTGGATAGAAGACAACCCTGAAAACCTCAGATGATACTGATACTAAGGAAGGTATTTTTCATAGTTCTCTAGGAAAGCAGTGTCTCAATGTAGAAAAAATCAATTTCTGCAGAACTCTAAAGGAAATAGCAAAAGATACTTAAATAATGCCTTCAGAATGCAAGAGAAAGAACCAAGCAACTCAATATGAAGTTAAGAAATGTAACTCTGGTATGTTTTGTACAGCTAATGAAGTTTAGAATAAGGCATAGAGAGCTCTGCTTTCATGATTTCACTTTTTTCTCATTTTTAATTTAAAAAAATTTATAGAAGTCATGCCAATGTGAAAATAAACAAATACACAGTAGCAACAAAAAACTATCCATCCCTTCTGAGTTTAGTTCAACAGAGAAAGAACAAGTATCTGACTTACATTGTCCACGACAACATTATAATTAAAATGTCTTTTCCAAGTAACAAGATTATGACCAAGAACAAGGTTATTGACTCTCTGTGTTTATGCTGAGATTAAATATAGGTGACCACCCTCAAGAGTAGGTTTCTACTGGCCTCATTCCTTCCTACATTCATACAATACAGTACTCAACAGGATAATAATAAATATCTGGGACCTTCCAGAGAGGTTTTTAAAGACAATCTCAACATCATTTAAAAACATAACTTTTTTTTCAGCCTGGTACAGTTTAACTATTCCTTTCAGTGTTCAATTTACTCATATCATGCTTCTCTTCATAGACTGAAACACCTACTCACCATAAACCAGCAACTTCTTTCGCTAGAAAAGAAATGTATAGAAAACATCATGTAGCAGAACACTAAGCCTTCCTTTTGAGCTATGCATGGAGGACATGTTTATATTAGGCTTTTAACAGCTGAAGAAGACTTTTAAAAATAAATTGCACTTAAATCCTAATATTAGAAGAGCCCTGGGATTGAATCCACAGAGACAATTGATGAACTCCTAGGGTCTGCTCTGAAACTGAAAAGCTCAGAGAGTAGAGAAGCAAAGTAAAGCATATGTGAATAAAAGCCACCAGAGGAGGTTAAAATACACAATTATTTTAATTTATGCTTGAGAAAAACCAATATACTGAATCACCTTGTGAGAGTGAATTTGCCACCCATATCAGTGGATTACTGAATTTTTACATAAAAAGCAAAACCCCCAAAACAAAAATGGTTGCTTTCTAGTAGATCTGATTCATGATAGCCTCATGTGTGTGATTGTTGTTGTTGTTATTGTTAAGTGCCGTTGAATTGGTTCCAACCCATAGCAACCCTGTACAGGGTTTCCAAGGCTATACATTTTTACAGGAGCAGAAAGCTTTATCTTTCTCCTGTGGAGCAGCTGGTAGTATTGAACTGCTGACCTTAAGGTTCACAGCCCGATTCGTAACCACTACGCCACCAGAGCTCCTTATGTGTGTCATATTAGAATTGTATTCCAGAGAGTTTTCAATGGTTGATGTTTTTAGAAGAGTAGATCAACAGGCTTTTTTTCCCATGTGCCTCTATGTAGACTTGAACCTGCACCTTCTGATTAGCAGTCATTTAACTGTTAACCATTTGTACCACCCAATGGGAATTCACATAAAAAATGGACTTGCTAATTTTCACTAAAATGGATGTTCTGTCTTTAAATCTCACTATTTTTCACTTACTGTTCTAGTTTAACCTGACTGCTTTGGGTTTCCTTGATTAGCTCTAAGCAACAGATCCATAACCACACTCTTTTCTGCTCATGAATTCTTCACCACCATAACTTTGTGTGGAGAATATTTGAAAGTGTTATAGATAAAGGTCTAAAATTTCCAATCTTGGAGCCAGACAGCCAATATTCAAGTCTTGACTCTACCACATATTACCTTTATGACATATATAATTTCTGTGCCTCAATGTCTTCAACTATAGAATAGGAATAAGAATAGTATCTCCTTATTGGGTACATCTGAAATATAAATTAGTTGTCTATAAAAATGTAGAACAGTATCTAGTGCCTAGTAAAGGATGCATTAATGTTGCTTTGTATTATTTTAAGTCTGCTCACAAGAACCACTGTATAGAAACGTTATGCAAAGTAGATTGAGAAATCACTTATACTACAGTTATATACCTTTTTCTTTTTTCTTTTCCTGAACTTTCTGCTCCTTTTTAAGCCAGGGAAAATTATTTATTTTAGGTAGTAAACTTTGAGACTAAATGTACCTTATCTTTGAAAAGTATGTTTTAAGCTACAATGATAATTTAAACAAAGGTATAGTCTATCAATAAGGTAGCAAAATAATTAGCAGAGGAATTTGACTATGAATATTCTGAATCAGAGAGAGAAAATTTAAATCTTTGAAGAATGTGTTGTCCACCTTTCTACTAATAACACAAAACAGATAAGTCTGTATGTAAAATGTATTCGGTAATTTATTTTATATCCTATGTACATTTAAGGAGTCCAGGTGTGTCACACTTTAGGATAAACACTGGACTACTAACTGAAAGGTTCATGGTTCAAACCCACCATGTGCTCCTCAGAAACCCTATACAGGGTTGTTATGAATCAGAACCAACTTGATGGCACTTAAAAACCACAACATATACATTCACCATTACTCATTTCTCAGTTTGTCATACTGTGTGGCTTGTGTGTTGCTCTGATGCTGGGAGCTATGACATTGGTATTTTAAATATCAGTAAGGTCACTCATGGTGGACAGAGTGTGGTGCTGTAGGATAAGTACTAGACTGCAAGGTCAGTTTGAATGGCAAGGTTGGCAAGTTCAAACTCACCAACCGTTCCTCAGAAACCCTACACAGGGTTGCTATGAGTCCGAACCATCTTAACAAAACAACATCTCTAGTTTTGGGTCATTAATGTTTTATGTGTGAAATCTATTCTTGAGTTGTATTCTAAGTTCAGGTGGGATGTACTTAAAGTTATATATTGGTTTTCACAATAGGCTTCTAGCCTTGTTCTGACTGATTATATTGAACTCCATTTCCTCTTTCCGCAGATACAGTTGATGTAATTTCCATGTATTCCATCAAGTGAGGCCTAAGATTTGTGATGCTTTTTATGAGGTTGACAAAGGTATTTGCACTGAATAAGTTGTCAGTCTTCCCAAATCCTATCATGCAATCTCTGGTGTACTTTCTATAATCACGCACATACTTTCTAAGTACTGATCCTTCTTCTTTTGTTTCAAGTCATCGTATTCCAGTCACATTTAATTATCCACACATCTTTATTACATTTTTTTAAATCAATTTAGGCCTACAGAAGCTAGTGAAAATCTACAGTATCTTCATATTTGCCATTTGTGGTTGGTGCATAAATTTAAATGATAATAGCATTAATTTCTCTTCCATGTAGGCTATGGATCCTATCCTATCACTGACAGCATTGTACTTCAGGATATATCTTGAAAAAATTTTTAACAGTGAATCTCACACCATTCTTGTTTAACCTGCCATTCCCAGCATAGTAGGTCATATGATTTTCTGATTCCA